AGCCGGGTCTCCCCACACCCCAGCCCTCCTGTCGCCCCTGCCCGCCCGTCTGGCTCTGCCAGCTCCTTCCGGCTCCTTCTCTCCATCTGTCCCACGGAGGTCTCTGCCGAGTACCCTCCCTCCCTCCTCCACCTTCTCTGGCTCCCTACTGCTGCATTCCGTCTCTGCCCCGTCTCTTTCTCTTTTCATTTATTCAACAACATTCCTGGTGTGCCCCATAGTGAGTAAATTTGGAACCCCACGGAGAACCTCCACGAGTCTGGTGGAGGGAGAGACAGAGGCAGACACAGACACTTCCATGGGGTCAGGGTTCCCGCAGAGAGAGGGATCAAGGGCTGAGAGAGCCTGGAGCCGAGGACGATGAAGACCCACAGGCTATCCTGCGGCTGACTGAAGATGGAAAATCCGCAGGGGGATTTGAAGTAGGAGTAGGAGTCTAGGGAGGTTGAAGACCATTTCTCACCCATTGACCCATTTAATCTCCAAACAACTTTGTGAGATGGCAACATTCATTCCCATTTTACAGATGGGCAAACCAAGGCCAGAAAGAAAGGAGAGGTCAGAAGCAGAGGCCAGGTCTCCTGTCCTTTTCCACACAGTTCTGGGCGCTGGGGAGACTCTTGGGACTTTGGGGTGTGGTGGGCTCACACTAGGCATCCGAGATCCAGTCCTTGCTCTGTCCACAGCTTAATGCGTGATTCCAACCAAGCCACACACCATTGGAAAAATAGGGTCCTTTACGTCTGACCTGGGTAATTTACAGAAACTGAGGCCCCTGGGGTCGGGGGAGACTGCAGGAGTTGTCTCTGGTGGTCAGGCTTGGGAAGCCAAGGATTCTTCTGGATTTGCAAAGTTGTGTCTTTAAAAGATGTGCAGTCCAGGGGAGGACCCAACCAAGTTGTGTCCAGGTGGTGTGGAGGAAAACTGAGCAGGGTGGAGCCGCATCCAGGCTGCCTAGCTGCCATTCCACCTTCCTCCTTCCCCACCTGGGCCCCAGCCCAGCCTCTCTGTCAACACCCAGACCAAGCCCCTCCCCAGCTCTAGATGCTGCCGTGGCTCCCTATCGCCCTTGGGGAAGAATGCCAGCTGCTCATCCTGGCATTCGATGTGTCTTTGCTGCCTATGC